TATCGGTATTAAGTCTAAAATTACGAAGGCACATTACAATGGAAGGCATAAAGTCATTAGTGGCCGTTTATTTCCCGAACACTTAACTTCTGGACCTTTAAAAAGATCCTGCTGGTATTTAGTAGTAAACAGGGCACGTTGTACTGTACTGGAGAAACACACACGTACTTCAGTCTATTCTGATTAATAATTTCCGTGCTTTTAAGTCAACACTATGAACGTCTCTTCATGTCTTTGATCCCTCCGCGATGTGACCGGAACCCCTACTGTTGACAGCTACCTTGCATAATCGCCTTAAACGTCAACGTTGCTGAGCTCTCCTCATGAGAGTAGAGTCTCTGAGGAGCCCAGACAGTGGCCGACTTCGGTCCAACCAACTAATTCTGTTTACTTAGGATTTAGCACTTTTAAAGACGATATGACAATGCCGACGACCGGAATTCTATTTGGTGTCGAGGATGATTCTGCTTATACTACCTTCGAAAACCGCTGTTCAGCTGTTGTCTCAGCAGTCAGTTGCAAACATAGCTTTGCAGGCACCAAATTAGTTGCTGCTGTCGTTTGGAGGAAGCAGATCCGGCAGAGCGCGGACTGTGTGCGCGAGCGACCATTCAAATGCAGACCCAAATTGTGCCTTAGATATGAGATCTTTACGGTCAATCTATCTTATTCAACTAACATGTTAGTTTACAGTTAACTATAGTTGTGTTGCAACACAATTACAGTTGGCTCTGAAAGGTTTCCGCCGTATACTGAAGCAGCGAATCTCTCTCGAGCAATTTTTACATGCGCCAAATAGCCAGTAATTGGTATAATAGATCCCTATGCAGCAAAACCAAATTCACAGACGCCTCTATTTCTCCGTGAGCAATAAACAGCAGGTAGTACTCACGTGAGAAGCCCTATAGGGTAACCCGATCTTGCACGTTCCTTTTGGCCTTTACCGCCTGTTCGGTGATTGGTTAGTTTTCTCCGAGACCCTACCGTACAGATGTAACTGCCGAGGACGTCAAGGGTAGCACACACCGGAGTAAGGGAACGCCGAGAAGGACTCTTGGCCGGGATAGACCTGAACGGAGCTGTTAGCATTCCTTGATACACATCCATACACCGAAGAAGAAGGCATGTCGAATAAGAGATAAAGTGTAATAATACGAGGTTGCACGGGGAATCGTATAATAATCGTTAATAGTACAAGTAGGACGGTTACATCGGTAGATTGACCTGTCTGGGTGGAGAGACGATGCCAACATGCCAGTTAGTAAACCGGTGGGGAGCGCAGCGCTGGGGGCAACTGCAGGGAAGGGCCGAGGGAGTGCCGATGTAGCGAGGAGGCGAGCGGTTCGGACGATACGTTACGTTACGACGAGGGGGAAAGGGATCGGCAGAAGAGAGGGTGAGGGACACCGGTTATCTTCACCGACACGCAACTACGCCATCTCCACCCTAGGTCCTCGCGCGGAAAAGTGTCACCTCATTCGAACAACTCTGTCCAAGTCCAGGGGCGTTACACAGATCCAAAAGGATTGTAATTGCAACAGCCAAAATAGAGCATAGGAGTCTAACCTTGTTTTACTAATCAAGTGAATACTGATCTTGTATACAACCCCGGTCCAAGCTCACCACGTGGACGTGATCAAAGCCGCTGATCAGTGTACCCGATAAGTCCCGCCCTCGTTTGTTGCATGTTTGTTCCTTTGTTGATCATTGTTACCTTTTGTTTTGCACCCTTTGTCTTTTCCCGGGTTAACCCTTTACCCTGATGTATGTACATACCTCCTTGATGTCATCTACATTGTTGGTTCCTATGTTCAATTCGTTATCCACTTTCTACTGAC